GTCTGGAAGACAAGAGAGAGAAGAGTGATGAGGAAACGATCTTAGGAGCATGGCAGTGGTGGGCTGGTGCTAATAGTGATTTCATTTGCAGTGGGCAGGCATCCAAGGGTATTTTGGGCAAGTCTTATTTCCCAAAGCAATGTATTCTAGTCTTATGAGAGCACTGTCACAATTCTTTTTGAGATATATTTGAGATTGGACTCTGGCATGAAGTTTTTCTGAAAATGAAGCAACATAATGACATATTATCTGGAATTTAAGGCTATCCTTTGATGCAAAAGTGATAAGATTTACCGTTTCCACTAGATGGCATTAGAAACTTCTGAAGCCATGAACTAATTACTAGTCACCTTTGTTAGGCTGTAAATTACACCTGCAGGTTTTAAGAGGCAATTGGCAATCGACTATCTGGTGTGTTTTAACTTTGATGCCAGGTACACGGTTAAGACATTGGTATCAGATCTCACCCTTGACATAAATAGCTTCTGGGATTATCAGAATGTCATTCCACATCTCATGTTCCAAGCAAGAGTTTTGAAAGCAACATATACCCTCCCCTTCTGTAAATCAAAACCAAGTAATACTAGGTCCTCGTATCCTAGCTAGGCAATCAGTCGAGGACAAACATATTAGGTAGAAAGGGTAAACGAAAGCTTTTGTTTTCCTAGCATGCAGATATATATATATATATATATATATATATGGTTTCTTTTGCCATATTTAAAACATGAGGGAGAAAAACAACAGAATCCGAAGTTTTATGAGCTTCTGTTAGTGGTGGTTTTAAGAAAACTGGGTAGGTTTTAAAATTATAAATGAAAACTTCTGGGGTCTAGAATGGATACATGTCCCAGTGTTTCTGAAAAGTCTGCCTCTTCAGATGCTCTGTGTAGCTAAACCAGGAAATCGTAGGTTCAGTGTGTGCGTGTGCGCATCTTATTCTTTTCTCAGTGGTGTGTTTGCGTGCCTGCCGCTGTCGCCGCTGCCACCATTGCCTGCTCCCTAGCCTGGCTTTCATCATTTCTTCCTGTTGATTGGTGTCACCTCACATGCTTAGAATGTCTGCCTGTCTGTTCAGAGTGTGAACACATTCCTCAGAATGCTGATCTGTTCGTTTCACACCAGTGTCAAAATGACTTATTAAATTCGGCACCTCCTGATACTCAGTGGCTGATGTGTTGCTGTCCAAACAGTAAATGACAATAAGCATATGCAGCTGGTGGGCCTAGCAAACTCATTTAATTTGATAAAAATGTCACCGCAACATGCTTTAAATCGCTGTCCTTTTCATCATTGCTAATTGCTAGCTATAGACCTTTTTCCTATGCTTAATACGAGTGTTAGAATACTACTCTTTCCAGTCTGATTAAGAATTAAAAAAAATGTAGAATTCCTTTTCAGTGGCAGCATTATTTCATCAAGAGATGGATTTTGCTCTTAATTAGCCAACATGCCACTAGGGAAGCTTCAGAGTCATGGGTGTGAAACAGCCTCAAGCAGGAGATCAATCTAAAGGAAAAAAATGGTGGCTGGGGAATAATTGGCAGCTCTGGTGAACGTGGCTGGTTATAACAGTGACAATATGTTCCCGTGGAATATCACAAACCTCTCTCTCCTATTTCCAACTTGGCACATTTCAAGCTCAACAAAAGCAATATATCCCATGGTTATTTGTCTATCATTTTATATTTTTTTCTTGCTACTTCATTGAGGTTTTTCATGTGTTGGCCTGACAATCTGGACATTTCTCCAGAAAGGATTAGGGGATTAAGAAGGCATACAAATTCAAAAAATAATAATCCTTCAGTAGTTTAGTGCTTGAAAACAGATCTGGAACTGATCTATACACTAAAATCAGGCAAACCTGCACTAATTTGCTAAACCCTAAGTTGATTTAATGCCCCCATCACCCACCACCCACATACCCATACATCGAACTCAAACTTTTTAAAAAGATGTGTGCCAGATTGAACAGGAACTATTTCATATACAGGCAAAATGGAGAAAAATTGCAACATAATTTCCCAGCCAAAGTGAACTGATACTTAATTTGGTTAAAACCTACTTTTTTTTTTTCTTTTAAAATAATCTTTCTGTGTGGAGTCTGACTTCTGGAGTGGTGGAGCTCATAGCCATACAGGCCACCAGCCTCTCTGCTCACCTGTTAGCACCTCCTCCCAGCAGGAGGCTTTATCTGGGATTTGACGTATGCAAAATGGAATGAACAAAAAAGGGGCAATTTGCCTTTCCTCCCGATATTCTTGCATTTCAGAGCTCGATAGCCTCTGCTAAAAATGGAGCATGGATCCTGGATTTATGTCTACTTTATTTATGTGGTTGAGTGTATTTTTTTCAAGTTGCTTATGGAAGAAAACATCACAATCATTTTGGTGCAAATTCCAAGTGACGTTCCCAGTCATCTTCTATAGTCTTCCTGCTGTGATTGGCCCATCTAAATAACATAGTCAGTTAAAGACATAGGTAACCTACTTTTAAATACATTTTTGTTTTCATTTTCCATCTATATTTAAAGTTAAGAGGGACATTTTGAGCACTAGACTATCTCAGGCTGCCAGAGGTCATTTCATTTTCTCCTCTGCTTGTGTGCTAGTGATACCTTTACCACTGGTATATAGAAAAGAAATGTCTTTGTGATATTTCCAGGGAGGCCCATGGAAGCTTTTTTTGCTTAAACTGAGCAATGCCAAAGAGCTCATCAAAATGAATGAGGGCAATGGGAAGTCTGGGTCCTGGCTCTAAACTCTTCCAGATCAACAAGGCTCTGCCTGGGCAGTTCCAAGTGAGAAGAATCAAAAGTTCTATGCCTCGGTCAATATGGGGGTGGGGTGGAGGGCACCATTAATCATATTAGTGCTCCCAGTAACTGGTTTGGGGTGTTGATGAAAGCGTGTGTCCCATGCCTGGTAGGTACATAGTGGACGGCTTGCCAAGAGGCCCTCTGGTTGACATACTGGGGCAGAGGGGACCCCCTCAGCCTTTCCTCCCACCCAGGGTTCTCCTAGTCTCAGCTGCCACTCCATTTTACACATTGTGCCTTACATTTCAAGTAGGTTTTGAGCCCAGCTCAGTAAGGTAGCAAACTCATATCATCCTGAACCCTGGGTTCTCCAAGTTTTGGACTCATCATAACCTCAGCTCTCAATTATTGACTGGCAGAGACTTTTCTAGGATTTCTATAATTATTCCCTGAAACAAGCTAGATGATGTTTTTACTGACCACATAAACGTTCTCTTCTCTCTTGCATAAGCAATATATAAATATATTCTCTTCACTTGCCCTGACCTAGTTCAGATCTGCTTCCAGAAGAGTCCACCCTTGTGCCTTGGCCTATGTGCCTCAGTCTACAGTTTTGTGTACTCTTACACCTACATCCAGAGACTTGTAGAAATCATTTGGAGTTGTCAGGGTGCGTTCTTTTCCCCAAAGGTGAATGGTGTCACCCAGTGTGCGTCATTCCATGGCTTGCTCTTTTAACCGAATGCTGTATCTGAGAGCTGGCCATGTTCTATGGAAATATGGGTCATTCCTCTGAAGAACTGCCTGGGCTTCCATGAAATAAAAAGAGCAGAGTTTGCTTAGCATTTTTTCTTCATTTCATAGATGATAAAACACAGATCCAGGAAGGTTAAGTGACTTATCCAAGGTCTTCCAGCTACTAAGCATTAGAACATGGGTGAGAGCCCAGACTGGGCTGATTCTCCTGCATGCCTGGCTCCTCCCATATCATCAGGTTTCCTTGTGAGGCTGCCTTCTTTCTCCTCTCTGCACTATCCTCTTACCTGCTTTGCTCTTGAAGCTACATTAGGCTTGAGGTTTCTGCCACGAGTGTCCTAATTTCTGGGGCCAGGTCTATACTGACCTAGGAAGTACTTGAGGATGAACATTTTGAAAAAACATTTTACACAGTCAGGGGGTGTCTTTCAGCATTTTAAATATTTTATTTCATTTTGCTAACCAGGTAGTTTTATAAACGCTTGAGCTGTCATAGCCTTACAAATCTTTTAAAGATTTTTTTCCCCAGCAGGGTCTGCTTCTCATATTTAACAGGAAAGTGTGTAGGAGGGATGTGGGGGAGCAATTGTTTGGGGGAAATATTGCCCTCACAAACATGAATATGGCAATCACAGTGGTTCCTACACAAAGGTTTATGGTGGTATCGTGGGTCAACAGGAATTTCTGTTTGTGAAATGGCTGCAACATCAGAATGGGAGGATAGGCTGAATAACTTGGCTGCTTTATAAATGAAAGGGCTTTTATCCTCCCAAAGCCTTTCATAGTATTTGAGACTCAGTGGCTAGTTCTGAAGAGGATCCATTCTTGAAAATGGCCCATTTAGCAGCACTTTGAGAAGTCATCAGTGAGTACTCAAGGATGGACTGTCTCAGAAAAAAAAATGTTGTTAAAAAAGCCCTGTTTGTAAATCCTGCTTACCCATCGAATGAACTAATTTTTTGCATCTCAGTACCATGATTTGGAACTTCACATAGATGTATTTGAACATAAAATTTTAAAGCCATTGTTGCCCCAGCTATGTGCTACATACCCCTCCCCACCACCGACCGACCACCTGGTTAGTTTTCTGAGAGTTTCTGCGGGAAAGGTTTACAATGGCTGGTTCCTGGTTTGATGTCATATCGATAAATTATAGTGCTTTAAACAGATGTGATCTCACAGCGTGGAATTCTTCAGGGTAAAGCTCATGAAAAGGTTTTTTTCCCCTCTTGGTTTCATTGTAGTTTTGTTGTTTGGAGGTTTTATGTTGTTCATTTAGTTCCCTGGCTTTTGGGGTTTTATAGTCGTATTTCCTTTGTTTAATATAATTTCTTTTTTTCTTTTAGCTATTTTTGTTAGGGTGCCCAGAGGCCTCCGTTATGAGTGGCTGTAAAGTAAAATATATTATGATTATTACAATGATAAAGTATAAGCTTTTAAGAGTCTACTTATATTGACCCATATATTCTCTTTTCCTCTCTCCAAGATACACACAGAGGCACATTGGAAACACAGTAGAAAACGGCTGCCAATTTAAAACCAGAAGTTAAGAAGAGCAAACTCAAATGTACAGCAAGAGAGCTTCAGACTGGACTAGCTTCCAGCAGAAGTGGAACTGGAAACCTTGGATTCTATTGCCTCTTCTCTGTGACATGGGAAAATATGTCAGTATCTGAACTTGAACTTGGTCATTACTGCTCATTTCCTAACCTTTTCCAAGCCACGTAACTCCCCTGAGGCTTAGTTTTCTCATCTGTGAATTGCGGGATGATATATTCATGAGCTTGCTGTAAAGACTGAATGAGATAATGTGTATAGAAGTGCCAAGCATGGCCTCTGGCATACAATAGGTGCTCAATAAATATGAACTGGAATACACATGCACTCTGCTCCCTCCTGGTCCCTCCTGCTCCCTCAGAGCACCTGGCCTGGCTCTGGGTTCCCTGGGATATGGTAGGTTACCAAAGCAGGCACTAAGGCATGTCTACTCTTGGTACCTTATTACCTAGGTTTCCCGTGCCACCTGTTTCATTCTAGACACAGATTTCAGGGTTCCTTCCAAGAGAACCTCACTTCTGCTAGCTGTCATGCTCAAAAAGGGACTGATGACCACTCAAGCATGATATGATAGTGACTTATGAATGTCCTTCCTCCAGACAGCGTTTGGATTATTACAGGTTTTTATTTGCTTTTATTCAGCACTAAAAAGGCATTGAGAGCCAAAGGAAATTCTCTTTAATGGTGGGATTTAGGCATTATGGCACTTTTCCTGATGGAGGAGGAGAAGGATATTCATCCTGAAACCCTCTGTTGTCATATCCCATGGGTCACTGCTGAATCTCTCTACTCATACTGATTTCTTTCTCACTGGGTTGAAATAGTGTCCTTCCAAAATTCATGCTGGAACCTGTAAATGTAATCTTATTTGTAAATAGGGCTACTGCAGATATAATCAAGTTAAAATGAAATCATATTGGACTAGGGTGAGGCGTCACTTCAATATGACTGATATCCTTATAAGAAAAAGGAAATTAGGCCACAGACATTGACTCACAAGGAATCAGGCCATTTGAAGACAGCAGCAGAACTAGGAGTGAAGCATCTACAAACCAAGGAATGACAAAGTTTGCTGGCAACCACCAGAAGCTGAGGAGGCAGGGGAGGATTCTCCCCTAGGGCCTTCAGAGAAGGCATGGCCTGGGCAACACCTTGATTTCGAACTTCTAGCCTCTAGGATTTGGAAAGAATAAACTTCTGTTGTTTTAAGCCACCCAGTTTGTGGTACTTTATTTTTTTTTTTGAGATGGAATCTTGCTCTGTTGCCCCGGCTGGAGTGCAGTGGTGTGGTCTGGGCTCATTGCAACCTCCACCTCCCAGATTCAAGTGGTTCTTCTGCCTCAGCCTCCCAAGTAGCTGGGATTATAGGCGCATGCCACCACACCCAGCAAATATTTTGTATTTTTAGTAGAAAGAGGTTTTCACCATGTTGGCCAGGCTGGCCTCAAACTCCTGACCTCAAGTGATCTGCCCATCTCAGCCTCCCAAAGTGCTGGGATTACAGGAGTGAGCCACTGTGCCCAACTTAGTTTGTGGTGCTTTTTTACAGCAGCCCTTGGAAACACACTTGACTGAGCAGGATGCTTGCTGGATGGCCTAGTGAGCCCAGCCAGTGTTACAGGGGTATCTGAGAGCAAAGAAAGTGCTGTGAACTTTCAATATGACTGGAACCTGTGTTCCAGAGGAGTGTGCCTCAGTTTAGGAAAAGAATGCACTTGGAAGTATTTCAGGGGAGCTAAATTTTTCCTGACTTCTCTAGGAGAAAGTGAAATTTGAAGAGATCATTGACATTTCAAGAAAGTAGAAATCTCCTTGTAAAATGAAAATCCACTCCTGTCCCAACCTAGGTATTTTTTATTTTGGAAGTTTCATCCCTATGCTTGTGAAAGTGAGGCCCTCCTAAAATGCAAGGTATCCCCTTCTGAGAGTCCCAGAAGATTTGGGAGAGGAAAGGGAGGCTGACTTTCACTCATTTGCTATAGACAAGAAAAAAAAAACATCATACAAGTCTTCTAATTTAAGAATTCTAGAGTAATCTCTTTAAACACTTGAAAATTCATTTCTGAATGTTAAGGAATAGAATTTAGCAAGAAGAGGCTATTGTGTGTCAAAATAGAGGAGGGCCGTACTTGATCATTTGAAATAGCAGAGAAAAACAGTGCTGTTGAACCGTCCATTCAACAAACACTTCCAAGGCACTCAGTATGGCACCTAGGAAGAAAGATACTGATAAGCTTGATCCTTGCCCTCGATGGTATGGTTAATAAGATGGTTTGTGAGGGGCAAGACAGATTTGTTAATATGTAATCATAGCAATAGCTAACAGGTTTGAACACCTACAAAATACTAGGTCCCATGCCAAGTTCTGTACATGCAAGACAGCATCATTTATCCCTCCATAACCAGATGAGGTGGTTCTATTACTCATCCCATTTTCCAGATGAGGGCACTGACATTTGGAGGGAATAAATAACTTGCCTAGTGTCATTCACCTAAGTAAGTGGCAGAGCTGAGATTCAAACTCTACTCTGAGTCCCTGAAGACTCTATTCTTCATCCTGACAAGTGGTTGGGATGTATCTGCTGTGTGGGTTCAACAGCCAGACTCTTTGTGTTCAAATAGCATATACTTACCTGCCGTTAACTTGCCCTTAAACAAATTACTACTAGGTTTCTCCGATGAGGTTATAGAGTTGTTGTGAGAATGAAGTGGTCTAATGCAGACCAGGTGCTTAATGTAGAACCCGACATGACAAAAACAGTCACAAAATAGCAGCTTTTGTTACTACATGGGCAGGGGCTACTCCACATGATGCCCAGAGAGCTGTGAAGAATGAGGGGTCCCGGCTGCTCTCAGTTGGGACAGCAGGACTCAGCTTGCAGATTAGAATCTGCCCCTTTTGCATTGTACTTTGATCCTTCTCTAGGCATGGATCAGGACAAAAAGACATCAAAAGGGAAGTTAAAAGGGAGGCTTGTGTGTATGGGAGCTTTGGAATGGTGGGTGTGGGGTGCGTGCTGAGGTGAGGGAACAAACATCAGTAGGTTGACTTTTATAGAATCCCATTTTAAAAGTGATATTTAATGGCTTCCGTGGGTCTCTTTAAATGAATTCCACCATATTATTTGGTAGATAAGTCAAATAATGGGCTGAGGATGCAGGTATGCTAGTTAAGTTCCCCTAGCAGAAGTGCTCCCAGGCTAGGTGGATTAAGGGGATTAAGAGCTTGTTGGAAGTGAAGTGCTGTATGGTAGCTGCCAACAGTTGGAAACACCTTACCTCAAATCATTTGAATGCAAGAATACTAAAACAAAGTTAGTTCTTGGAAAACAGCAATGGTTTCTGAAATGGTTCCGAGAAAACAGCAGGTGAATTTACATGATAGGATATTTTGCTTGAGACTGATAATAGTCTAAAGCTGCTGGTTCTGCTGGCATTTTGAAGTGCAGAGCCTTGAACTTGAAGCCAGTGCTTGGCTGACTCTTATGTAACCTTCAAAATTTGGCTCAAACATCACCTCCTCTAGGAAGCCTTCCCTGAGCTCCTTATCTATGCTCTCAAAGCATATTCCGAGCACCTCTATTGTAGTGTTCACCATATTTTGTTGGAGTGATCTTTTCAGAAAATTTTCTCCTAATTTCTACTTCTGTCCTATTTCTAGCACCATGGACTTGGCACACAGTAGGTACCCAAGCTGGTGAAACTGAAGTAGATATTCCTAGGTTACAAGGCGAAGAGAATGGGGAATCAAGACAGAAAGGGAGGACTCTAAGGCTGCTGACAATAGTCTTTCATTTCATCATCTTATATCAAACAGACCCTGGCTCTACATATTTGAATTTAAAATCCAATGTATTGTCAATCTGTCCCCTTTTATAGAATAATTCTTTATTCCCCATCCAGACCTGGAAAAACCACAAACCTCAGGCAGTTCGTGTTACTTTCTTCGAAGCAAAGCAAGCATGGCTGGCTTAGGTTCAAGAGAAAGGAGGGAAATTGATCCATCTTTCCTTTCCTACCCTCCAAGAAAAAAAGGAGACCAGTTCAGCTTAGGCAAGATCCCCTGTCAAGCAGGGACCAACAGCTTGCAAAGAGTTTCTATACTGTCCAGGTCAATGGTGCCACCCTTTGTCTCTGTAACCTGCTTCTCCAACATGGTGGGCAATGGGGAAATTTTGCACAAACACTTTCTGATCAGCTGTGTCATCTGGGGGCAGCTCTACCATCTGTGCCTGAGATGTCAAAAATAATGCTTCTAAGTATCTTCTCAGGCAGCTTGGGATGATTTCAAACAACTTGGGAAAAGAAACGGGGTAAAAAATTAAGTACCATTCTAAATCAGAGAAGACAGGCTGTAAAGTTCTAGATTTTGTCTGAAATTTCTCTTCAGTGTAGAACAGCATCTTTACTCTGTATTGACAGAAGCAGCCCTTTCCTTAATCTAAGCCAAGACACAGCCATAAACCAGGTCAACAGGTATAATGTATTTGGCATGTATTGTTATTTGTTACCAGGAGGGCTTATAGCTCACAAATCACCCTAAACAGATGAACTCTAAATGCTTGGATTACCAACGGCTGTAAATTTAGACGTACCCAACTTGTCTTTGTTAGAGTGAACCCAGAGCACATGACTTTCCACCCTGACTGGTTGGTTATTGCTGTCCTGTTCTTTGATGGAGATTAAAAAACAAACAAACAAACCTGATTGCAATGGTGCTTTGGAACCCCTAAATCCTGAACTCCTTTGGGGGAGATCTGAGAGTGGCCCCAGGGCCCTCTGCAGCCAAGTCAGCCTCCCGAGCTGGCTAACTTAGCTGGCTGGTGAGTTTCTTTCCTGAGTTTTGGTGGAGATGACCACTATGGTGTCAAGAATATGGACTTGGGAACAGATAGACTTGGGTTCAAATTCCAACGCTACCGCTTACGAGTTGAGGGACTTCAGCCCTCATCCAGTTCTCTTTTTCATTATTTATTTTCTCTTCTTCAATGGGGAATACTTTAACATGTTTGAAGACTTAAACAACATAAGGATATGTGTGTTCAGAATCTGTTCTGTCCTCTGTCCTTATCCATTGTGCTCACCTAACCCTGACCATTGTCCTTAGATTCTCATTGTTCCTTCTGGTGCTTTTTATGCAAACAAAAGCAAATTTTATATATATATATATATATATATATATATATATATATATTTTGCTTCTTTCCTTACTCAAGAGGCATCCTATTTTATACATTGTCCTGAACATTGTCTTGTTCTTTTTCATTTATAGTATCAGAACACAAAGATCTTCCTTATTTAAAAAAATGTTAAAATTATTA